GCGGCGCCAGCGTATCGCCACGATGGAGTATCGTTCCCCCCACGCTCAGGCGCCGGCCATGCCCCCTGTCCCTGACGAGCAAATGAGCGCGGCAGGCCACGCCTTTGCTCTGGCCGCTCACAAGATCGCTGGTACGCTCCCACCAACGTCGCCTGCGCGTGGCGATGCCACCAGTCCGCCACGGCGCGCTCCGCCTCCCCCAATCATGGGCCTCGATGCATTGAATGCAACGCTCCTTCAAAAAGTTCACGCGCAAAACGCGCAGGTCCATGCGAAAAAACAACGGCATACCCCTGCGGCATCCTCCTCATTGTCTTCGCCGCCGCCGGCGCCACACTCGCCGCCACCCGATCCTGCGGCGCTTCCAGCGCGTGCACCGACGCCTAGTCCTGCTTCTAGCGTGGAAAGCAGTCCACACAGCGCACGCAACTCGGAGAAGGAAAATGTGCCGCCGCACGAATTGTCGCCCACTACGCCCCGACTAGGCTCGGCCTCGACGCCGTCACTTTCCGATCCGCTCCATGACCCCCTCACAGAGCTACCGGCCGGCGACCTGGGTGCCTTTTTTGCACCGACGCCCGCGCTTGGGGACAATACGCCGGCTGCCTCGTCCAGCGTGCCCCTTTCTCGTACATCATCCAGCCACTCGGTGCTTGCGCAGTTCTTTGAGGCAGGCACTCAAGAATCCGTGCGCAGCGGATCGCTGGACCTGTTCGCGAATCAGCGGCGCTCTGGGCCAGTGGGCGGTATGACCCAATTTTTTGAGGCGACGCCTACCGGCACCGTGTCGCGCAGTCAAGAGGCCATGCCGCCGCCGACGCGTGCGCCTAGTGGCGATGCTTTTGCGGCGTTGCGGCGTGCCGAGCAAGCGGACGCACAGGCACCGCCTTCGCCAGACATTCTGCCGTCGGTGCATCCGTCGGAGCACCAGGGTGAAACGGTCCGTGCGCCATCGACGCATGGCCTCGTCTACCTCAATGAGGATGGCTTTTTCACACAGACCAAGCCGGTGGAGGGTGCTTGGCCTGCGTCGGCGCACAATAGCGACTCGGAGTCGGAGCAAGGCTCGGAACCAGCGTCGGAGCATGCCACTTTGTCCTCGCGCCCGCCCCGCGCTCATCGGCCCACCTCGGCGTTTGTGTTTGGCGAGGCAGACGAGTCGGAGGACGAGGCACATCATGGTGGCCTGGCTGGTGTGTTTAGTGATCGTGAAGACGGCAGCGACGACGATGGCGACCAAGATTCGGACGCCGACGACGACCTATCCAGTCTGCTCGACGACGAGAGCGACGAGGACGCCGAGGCCAAAGACGATGCGGCGCGCCAGCGATACATGCAGCATCGCGATGAAGACGATGCGGCGATGCAAGCGCTCCACGAGCGTGCCACCAAAGGTCTCTTGCGGCATCGCCGACGTGGCAAGGATGATTTGCTAGCGGACCTGCTCGACGAGGATGCGGACGAAGAGGAACTTCGACGCCGGATCCAAGCACCGCAGTTCCGCCAGGGTCAGCGCCGCAAAGTCGATGGGGACGGCCTCGACGCCCTAGCCGCGCGTGAGGATGCGCAAGCGTTTGTGCGCATGTACTCGGAGACGCACGACGCCACAGATAAACAGGCTGCGTACGACTTTTTGGATGTGGGAGAGGAGAGCTCCGGCGACGAGCGCGTCTCCGCGCATGCTGTGCGGGCAGAGATTCTGCGCCGTCAACGACACCGTGCGCTCTCGCCCACTGCCGAGATGCCGCCCGAGGACGATGGCGCGGCGCGCGTCAAGCTACGTGCTCGCCGACCGTCGATGCCACCAAAGCGCGCCGCGCAGACGTCCGACGACGAAACATCGCATGTATGTATTTATGTGCTCACGACAGTACTCTCGTGTCCTATTTCAGTCGGGCAAAGTGGACGTATCCCAACTACCCCCCGACGTCCAAGAAAAGCGGGCGCGTCTTTTGGACGAATACAGTCACGAACCGACGTGGCAGCAAGGACGTGGTGGCAGTGGCAACCGGCGTCGCGCTCCCAGTAAACGGTCGTTATCTGCACCTACACCCCGCGTGCTCGAGCCCGCCCCCTTGGCGCCATCAGTGCTCGTGCCGCAGGTCCTGCGCCGCGAGGCGCACTTTCCGTAGACGATACCTATCACGTGATCACAACGAAGCGCGTCGCGTGTGTGTTGGTGGGACCATCAGCCCTGGCGCACGCGGCATGCAGGCTTGCGGGGCGAGGCTGCCCGAGACGCCTAGGCGGCAGGATGCGGGGCCTTCTCTCTCCCCTGAAAAGTCATGGCAGCGCGTGTATGAGATGCAAAGTTCGCGATTGCCCGTGCTGAAAACCCCTGTGGGTGGTACGTGCTTCTTCTGACCCCGTTTAGCCCGCCGAGGTCGGCCCAGCGCGATGCGTGTGCTGCGCGAGACGCAGTCAGAAAATGTGGCGCCTACGACACCCCGAAGTGAAGTGGGTGCACTACCCCGCCACAAGACCGTCGATGAAGTGACCAAAGTGGCCGAGGCGCGCCTCCAAGACCTGCGCCAAGAGAAATACACCTTGCTCAACGAGCGGGAGGATCTCAAAACTGAGATTCGTACGTGCCTCTACTTACACAGAATTGGGACGCCAACGTGAGCTCAAACTCAAGGCACAGGTAGGTTAAGTTACTCACACAAGGTCGATAAGCTCGAGAGCCTGATCGCTCGATACAAGGAGCGAGCCACGCAACACCAGCATGTTCACGAGGAGCACGCTACGCTACAACACGACAAGGATACCATGGCCTCCGAACTGCAGTTGGTTCGCGAGAACGCCGCGCTCGTCTCGGCCCAATGCAAGGAGCTCGAAACGGCGCTGCAGACTTGGCAGGCCCACTGTGTGGCTACCACGGACGCTGCCAGTGCGCGTATGGACCACATGTGGAAGTATTTGGAATACATGAACGCGCAGCAGAGGCAGATGCAGGCGTCTCTTCGGACAACGCAGCAGCGCTATCAGCAGCAGGTCGCCCAGTGGGAGCAGCGTCTCTTGGCCCAAGAGGCCGATCTGGCATATGCCTCTGACGCCCTGGAACAGCAGCGTATGGAACTCGATGTCCTTTCGATGGAGCGCTCGCAGTTTGAGCAAGCGCTGCACGATGCAGAAGACCAAATACTACAGCTCTCCCTCCGAGACGTGGACGACTCGGGCCAACACGACAGTGACATGGTACTACAAGACCAATACGACAAGCTCTCTGTCGACGTCAAAATCTCTACCATGGATGCTCTTTGCAGTCAGAGTCAATGGGAAACGGAGCAAGAGCGCTCGGCATGGCTCTTGTCGCGTTTGCAAGACACAGAGGCAGTGCATCATCGCCTACTCCAAACGCTCAAGAACGAGCGTGTAAAGCATGCAGAGGAAGCAAATGCACAGAAAGAGCTTGTTGCTGCACAGGAACGTATCGCCGAGCTGCTCCAGACGAATGCAGAATTATCGGACGAGCTGAATCGCGTTGCTTGGTTCGAAGAGGCATACCAGGCTCGGACACAACAAGCGGACCTACTGAAAGAGCTAGCCAAACTGAATGAGACGCATGAAGAACAACTCAAGGACCTGCATCGTCTACGCGAAGACCAGCAAGAGGCGACGGAGCTGCAAGGTCTGAGCAAACGCATTGAACTCTTGCACAAAGAAGAGGAAGACATGCGACAGCATCGCAATGCATTGGCCTGGCATGCACAGGAGCTAGGCAAGTTTCTCGCGCAACAGAGCGAGGCTGTGCAGGAGCCACGCCGGCGCGTCTCTGACACGGCCTACTTCCGTGCCAAGCGCGCTCCCCACGCATCCAGTCTTTTGCATAGCTAACTGTACAAGTATCGGACACGCGATACTAGGCCAGGCGAAACATCGTACACATCATCGCTCAGCGGTCCATGTATACTACTCATCTCAGCCACAGAGAGATGCGCCAGGGGATGGGGCCCTGGATCATTCAGCGGCTGGGTATACAGCACAGCTCGACGGTCAGTGACAAGGTTCACCGAATCTAGTGGTGGCGTGCGAAACAAATTGAGCGAAAAGTACCCCGCGTAAATAAAAAAGAAGAGCATAATGCTCCAGGCAGGTAGCAAAAAGGCCCAGTCCCTGCGGTTAGGCATGCGTCGTGCTTACCGGTGAGGAAACCATTCAATGCCGATGTGTTGCAGAAGCCATTCAGGGCTCAGCGCCCATGCTGACCATATGAACCAAAGAACCAAGGCAAATATGGCTAGCGCAAAGCCATAGGCCTCTGTGATAGGACTGCTATGCCGATAGAGGGGCGGCGTGGCACCAGGCGGCATGGGCCATGGAGGTGGAGGTCTGCGTTGTGGCAGATCGCTGGGGACGCAGACGACCTGCTCGTGCGCAGGACGTGGCCATGACCTCCCACTTTCTGGATCGCGTGCGCAAGCATGATCAACGCAGGAGCGAGAAGGAAGAAAAAGATTGCATATTTTGTGATATAATCGCTCGAAAACAGCCGGCCTATATTGTGGCAGAGACCGACGACTACATGGCGTTTTTAGATGGATTGCCGATTCGCGCAGGTGCGTTTGGTTGATGGTCTTATCTAGGGCACACACTCGTTCTACCCAAATCCCATGTTAGGCGCCTTTCTGAAATGAGTGCTGAGCAGGGAGCTGCTGTCGCCCGAGGGCTATCGGATGTGGCCCGTGCTATGGAAAAGGGTGCGTGGTATTCACTTACACGCAGCCTTTCACATAACAGGACTTCAAGTGGCTGCCAACCAGGACTATGCACAAACGGTGGGACATGTACGTGGCACTCTTCTTACGATCAGGTGCACTTTCACGTAGTGCCAGCCCCCCTGGATGCTTCCACACCCTCGGTCCTGCACAAGTGGGTATCGTCTTCGCCATTGAGCCTCTTGGGGCGTCGTGACGAACTACGGGACGATGAGGGCCAACAACTCTCTACGCTGCTGCGCCAATCGATGCGGCATGCCAAATTGTAGCAAGCAAAAAAGCTGCGACAAGGGAGGTTCGAACTCCCGTCCTCACCTACTTCCACGCGAATCGCGTGCCAAAGGCCATGGGAAGGTGAGATCCTAAACCACTAGACGATTGCCGCCGAGATCGCTTGCTCTATGTCGAATGACAAACCATAGACGGTGCACACTCCATGCGGCGGCGCAGCTGGTTTGGTTTCTCCGCTCAGGCGCTGCAGATCCTGCCTCTATCGGTAACGACTAGGTAAATACCACTATTTTATGGTTCGAGCGACCCGCGCGCATGACGACGAACCTGTGATCAAGCAGGCACGAATCATCCAACTGCGCATTCACATCTCTCACGGGTGTATTGTTGACATAGAGCCCACCCCCTTGCTGAACGAGACGGCGCGCTTCGCCTGCTGTTAGAGTGTGCATACATACTTCGTGATGCCACCAACTTGACATCAGCTGCCAGGCGCAGAATATCCACGTTTCCTCGGGGTACGTAAACAAGTCGGGGGTCGTTCATAAATGCGAATTGCACCTGTTCCAACGAGAGCGAATGCACATCCATACCGAACAATGTCTGTGTGGCCACCCGTGCACGCCGCAAAGCTTCCTCTCCACGGACCAGCTCAGTCACCTCTTCCGCCAAGCGCGTCTGCGCAATACGCTTGGCTTTATGGGTGTTATGCTGCTTAAGGATCTCTTGGATTTCGTCATGGGAAAGCAGAGTGAGCGCTAGCAAATAGCGCTCGACATCTGCATCGGCACTCCGCAAAAAGTATTGGTAGAAATCAAAGTCCGACAGCATCGTCCGCGATATCCAAACTGCATTCCCAGCAGACTTGCCAAACTTAGCCCCGGTCGAGGTAGTCAACAACGGAAGTGTCAAGCCATAGGCAGGGTCTTCTCGCATACTTATACTTTTGTTGGCACTTTGGGCTGCTTTTTGACGACGTATCAGGTCAATACCGGCCATGATATTGCCCATCTGATCAGAGCCACCTACTTGCACAGAGCAGTTTTTCTCTCTGTGCAACACGCTAAAGTCATGGGCTTGCATAAGCTGGTACGAAAATTCCGTGAAGGACATGCCAGACGATTGACCATCCTCTGGGAATAAACGCGATTTCACACTGGTATAAGTGCAGCATACACACCTGTCGCGAGCCAACATTTCGTTTACACGCGCGAAGCGACCGACCTCAGCCAAGAACTGGAGCGCAGAAACATCACGGAACCAGTCAAGATTGTTAATGAGCTTCAGATCAATGGTATCCAGGAACAAAGATTCCGCCTCGTTACTGTTCCTTGTTGCAGCGAAGGGAGCATGCGTCGCATGAATCCGTCCACGACGTTGAAGATACGCCACGGCATTGTGAAAGAATTGGTATATCTGAGAGCGTATAGATGATACGTTCTTTTCCAATTGTTGGGTATCCAGTGCGGATCTCTCTGTGGAACGGCCGGAAGGGTCACCAATCGCACCTGTCGCACCACCAATCTGAGTGAGTCGCTTCTGCGTACCAAAATGAGACCACGGTGTCCATGAGTCACTAGGTGTAGCATTGTAATCAAGGGAAGCAGATTCCCTACATGAAGACTTTCTGCGCTCGGATCGACACCAGAGTAGATGGTCCGCTCTACGAGCTGGTTTTGGTCATTTTTGGTCGACAAATGTTCATTCAATGCTCTGGATGTCACATTTTGAACCAGGCCCCGTGAATCCAAGAATGAAAAGACTGAGTAACATCGTGCATGAGCGAAAGCTCCGTGATGATGCGCGGATATAAACCTGAGACTCCCACGGCACCAGGGCCCAAGCACGAGCATGGTTGGGAAGAAACAGATCGGGCCCCCGATTCGAGTGCCTCGCTCAGACCAACATGGCCCTGCATCTGTACGGATGGGGCTCCAACTTGCATGGCCAACTAGGACAGCCCTTGCACACGGTAGAATGTGATCAGCCTGTGCACATGGACAATGCTGATACTATCATTGAGGCTACTGGCTCCCAGGTGTTTCTTTCGTCCGGAAACCAGTCGTACTATTATGGCCTCACCTCCAGAGAAGAGGATTGGTCAAGTATACCCCAAAGAAACATGCTGTCCTGGGAGCCGCCTCGTGCACTTTTAGGAAAAGATGGATTACTATCTTTCATTGATACCCAGGGGCATATATGCGTAGGGATGGAAGGAAAACGACGAACGAGTACTACGTGGCGCGATGCTGCTATGGATAGGACGGGACGAGTGGTGGCCATAACTGGTTTGTACGCACTGCTCATGCAGATGGTGGGGTCGCATATATGTACGAAACGCATGAACACTTTCTTTCCGGAGAAAAGGCTCAGCCCTTGCACCTCCAAGCTCCTCTTGATACCCCCACATTCGATAAAGTGGCCGCAGGCGGTGCTCACTTTGTTCTTTTCGCCCTGAATCATTCATCACCATTGTATATAATTGGTGATAATCGTTATGGTCAGCTTGGAGCGTTGTATCCTGATGAAGAAGAGGGTTATTTAAAGGAAATGACTTTTTTTTCTAGGAGGGAAGGTTTTCCTGGGCGTATCATATCCATCCACTGCGGATTTCGTCATTCTGTCGCACTGACAAGCGATGGAGATGCATATATATGGGGCTGGGTCAGTGATCAGTCGGATCCTTTCACGGGACCGGTCCCTGTGGATATCGGCGATGAGGGCGAGTTACCAAATGTACAAGCTGTGGCCTGTGGCGCCGAAACATCCTTGTTCTTGCTACAAGATGGATCCGTATGGATCTTGGGACAACGTGGAACTACCAAGGCAAGACAGGTTCCATTGCCCAAACCAGCTAGGCAAATTGCGGCCGCACAATGGTCTTATTATGCGCTTATACATGGCTAAGAACTCTTACCACGTAAATCAAATCGACAAAGTCCGACATGATTTACTTCGAAATGCTAGTACCGCCAGCCACTGATCCGGGAGTATCAGGAATAATGGGCGCAACCGGCTTGTTACCTTCGGCGAGAAGGCGCTGCATCAAAACACCAACACCCTCAAAGACACCAAGAAGGATACCACACATCACACCAGCGCCAAACGCCGTTTTGGGACCGCCACGAATAGCCAAGCTAGAGCCGGTGAAAAAGCCAGCGATAATTGCGTTCCACGGGTCCTCCTTTTGACGAACCGACTTGACAGTGCAGTCAAAGGTAGTAAAGAGACCACCCCACACACCAAAGTTTCCACCTAGCACGGGTGCGCGTGACTTTATAGCAGATACAGATCCAAGGAAACGTTCACCGCGGGGCGAGTTGCGCGCACCCTTAATGCCATGCCATATAGTGCCACCAATGCAACCCATGGCGAAAGCACCACCGAAGTCATTGAGGATAACCCATGGGCAAGGATCACGCGAGTGGTCTTGCCCTGGATGTCCTGTTTGAGTAATCGGCATGCTCGCTTCTATTTAGAAGGGACCTATGCCGACCGCCTGCAACGATGGCTGCTATTCGAACTGCGTGGCGACAATTCCATCGCGAAGGAAGGACTGATCACGTGACTACACAGACGCTGGATGCGCAAGGGCCCAATGCAACAGCGCACGGAGTCTGTCATCAGTCAGCTGCAACGCACGAGAACAAAAGATATTTAGATGCGCGAGTCCAGCTTCCAGGCTGGCTGAATTGTAAACGAATGCTTGTATCATTAATTCTGTCTTTGGAAATGCTGCCAGTCAGAATTGTACCACATACTGGTAAGGGAGTTGAAACGTAGGATCGTTGCTGCTGGCACATTCACCGAGTTCTTTCACACAGGTGAGAATGCCGACCATGCCGTGATCAAATCGTCTGGAATGTAATAGTCGGCCAATATGCCAGTCATTGGTACCATAGAGCTCATACATGGCTTTGTCAGGCCCAAGGTTTTCGATACAGCTGATCGAGCACCGAGGAATGACTCTGTATTCTTTAAACGTATACTTCATTAAGCGTTCCAAAACCGTGAGAAGCAGAGCGACTTGTCCAAGGGCAGCATTGATTTCTGACCATTCGACTTGGTCGTTTCTACCCACTCTTTGCATGCACCGACCCAAACGCAGCTCGTTGATCGTTCCCATCCCCGATGCATCTTCTTCGATACAAAATGTATCCATGTAGGCATTCGCTGACTGTAGCGAAGCTGACAGTAGGCTCTCATTCTTGATTCGTGCTTGCAATCGGGCTTGCGCCGATGCAAGCTCGTCTGCTTCGAACTGCAACCTCTCGTGCCGATGCCAAAACGTCTTCTCTTCTTCTTCCAATTCCTTCTCCTTGGTTTCAATAAATGCTTTCTGCTTCTCCAGTGATTCATAATCTTGATCGTACGACTTGAGCGTCTCTCCAAGTTGCTGAATTTCGGAATTCATGGTGCTGATTTTTTGTGCGACGGTATTTTGTTCACGCTCCCAGCGATTCATATCCTCCTGAGACATTTCAAGATCACCATCCACAAGAGCAAGTCTTTCCATCTCACGCTCCATGAGGGTGAGTGTGTCCACTTCTGCCTTGACCTCATTTATACGTGTTGACAAAAGGTTCACACAGTCTTGTGCACATTCTTGACACATGGGATGCTGGATGGAGGGCTCTGTAAGAGGGGGTATACGCGACAAACTTGAATCCAGCACATCTTCCGCTTTTTGCTCGTGCAAAGAACTAGCTTTTGGTTTCAGAGTGGCCTCTACATGGGCTTGGATAGCCTTGCGTGCGGCTTCTGGCAGCGGCCACGGCTCGAGTCTTTCTTCGACACTAGAAGGTTTTCTTTCATTGAGAATAGTAAATTCTCTAATTAAATCTTTCAGATCATCCTGCTCTATGCGCGCGACAAGATCATCATTGATCTGGACAGGCCGTGAGCATTGCCCGCACACCAGGTTCATCCTAACGCATGGACCTGGCAGAAGGTGTGGAGGTGATAGTAGCCACGTGGCAAGTGTGGTGGGTCCCGGACTCGGCCGATGATCGTGCGCTGGCTTTCGGACCGGACAGACACTGGCTCGTTCCATCCGCGCCGTGCGCTTTCCACCGACCAGAAACGATGGTGTTTGCTCTGGCTTCGCGCACGCTCCGCACCTCGAGCTACCGCTCTCTTCTCTCGCAGACTGCT